TTTTTTCTATATATGTATTTTTAGTTGTCCAGATCATTTCTTTCTATTTTTTAGTAGAGACGGGGTCTCGCTCTTGCTCAGGCTGGTCTGGAACTCCTGATCTTGAGCGATCCACCCGCCTCGGCCTCCCAGAGTGCTAGGATTACAGGCATGAACCACCAAGCCCGGCCTTTTTTTTTTTTTTTTGCTTTTCTGTGTACTATAGCCTTGCTATATTTGGTTTTTCTAAACTTAGTAATAGTAACAATTCATGTTCTAACTCATCTTCCGTTTTTAGTTTTGGAATTTAGTCACATCATTTTTAAACAACTTAGGAAAATAAGCATTTTTAAATCACAGTGAAATCTGTAGAAAAGATAAAACTTGTTTTCAGGTAAGGAATAAGAATGTTTTATATTATTTTTATAAATCTTGAATTGAATCACATGAATTTTGTTTAAGAGGGTTTGATCCATAAAATGTCTGGAATTTTTATTTAAATATTTGTTTTAGATAAAGACCAAAATATGACAAAACATACTCCCTTCCCAACTTGCTTGTGCTCATTTAGAATGAGTACATTTTGGTAAAATTATTTAAATAACCAGCGAAAAACAACAATGATGCTTCTTTACACTTCTGATTATATCTATTAAAACTTATATTTTTCACAGAAAATTGAAACTCTCAAAGAGACAACAAATGTAAGTTATGTGTTTGATGAACTCTAAATTTGCATTACAAAGTGTTTTAAAATGTTATTTCTATTTTAAGTTGCTACTATTGTTAAAAACAATTGAGATTTTAGTTTTTATGAATTTTTATAGGAGTGTTTAAAAGAATTATGTTATTTTCCAAAGGAGTTTAACCTTACAGAATAATCCCTCTATTTGAAATTGACTTCAGGTACCACTTTATCTGTTTCTGGTCTTGTTAGAGATCCTTGGATAAAATGTGCCATCCATGTACAATGTGTATATTCTATTTCTTATTAAAATATATTAAGATTCAAGTTTTCCGATGTACTGGCCTTCTGACATCATATAATGGGCTACTAATGAGATTTGTATCTTGATCAAAGTATTTTAAAACCAGGCAAAATAGTATTTCAGGTGTACCAATATTTTGGCAGGATCCTTTACTCTCCATACTTCCATCAAAGTCTTAAGTAGGTGTCTTAGAGTTGCTGCTGTTGATTTAAGAATTTGAAAGTTAATCAGGCTCATATCTTTTTCTGTTTGAAGTATCGAAAACCATTTAGAGCTGTGCCTGCTGGTGTGCGCTGGTAGTTCCAGCTACTCAGGAGGCTAGGGCAGGAGGATTGCTTGAGCCCAGGAGTTTGAGACTGTAGTGTACTTATATGGTTGTGCTTGTGAATAGCCACTGCACTCCAGCCTGGGCAACATAGCAAGACCTTGTCTCCTTAAAAAAAAGGAAAAAGAAAAAGAAAGAAAGAAAAAGAAAAATCATTTAGATATTATTCAGTATAAATTAACAATCTTTGGCTTTCTTTAATATTCATAGAGTTGCTAATGAATAACTTCATTTGACACTATCAACATATCAGAACCTGCTGGGTATCCAGAGAGGGTATTTCTTGTGGAATATAGACTTAAATCCTGTACATTTGAACTGATTTTTATATTTTAAGCTCTAACTATGATCATATGACCATTTTATTGGAGGCAGTCCTAAAATCAGTGTTTTGTCTTTATAGAGCATGGTAGAGTCAATTAAACACTGCATTGTATTGCTGCAGATTGCTAAAGTAAGTACATTTTACTTTTGATTACATTAATGTAATGGAATTTATAAATTATAATGGCATTTTTCTTTAATAGCCAAAAACTCAGTTCTAAAACATATGACCTCTCTACAGTATTGTGGGCTTCCTGATACTGTTGAACAGCTATTGTGTTTGGATGTTATCTTACCTACTGTTTTTGGTAACATAATTTCTGGTGGTGGCTGGGAAGGAGGGAAGCATGTTTGAATGACTCACCCTTTCCTTCCATTTTATCCACTATTGCTGCTTGGAACAGAGACATATTATACAAAAACCTTTTACAGAAAAGTTTTTCTTAGAAAATAAGGGAATTATGTTTTGGCACTTATTTTTCTTATCCACAATGAAGAGTATAGTAGAGATATAATATTTTAAAAAATTTTTATAGATTTTTCTGATATTGAGCTACATTAATGAACTTTACTGTTTTTTATTCACAAAACAAAATATATTTTTAATTATTGTGGGTTAAAAATTTCATGTATATTATCTGCTTTTCTGGAAAATTTTGGCATATTCAACCTAAATATATATTTTATTGTCTGAAATTTTCAGAAATAAGAATTTTATTGTTTGAGAATAAGAATTTTTTGAAAACTTTTTTTTTTTTCCATTATTTCTACCTGTCTTTGCCCTTGTATTAACAACAAGTGGCTAGAAGTGGGTGGATGGACAGCTCAGTGCCATGTTGAGAAATGATGTTTGTGTGAGTTTTTAATTACTAGTCTGTTTTACTTACTAAATTGTATATATTTGTTTGTTGAATCATAGAGACTTTTTACCTAGCATTGTTAATGACAGTAGTGTGGGACAATCCATTTGTATTTGGATAGTGAGGATACTTCGTTTATAAATTAAAGGGGCCAATGTCATTTTCACTTGAGGCCAGATTCAATATTAAAGTGTCAGAACTTAGGGCTTGTATTCCTTTTCTAGATATTATTGATATCTAGATTTCCTATGTATGTGTCTAAATTTTCCATCAACTTTTGTGGATCAAAATATATTCTAGGCCGGGCGCGGTGGCTCACGCCTGTAATCCTAGCACTCTGGGAGGCCGAGGCAGGCGGATCCTTTGAGCTCAGGAGTTCGAGACCATCCTGAGCAAGAGCGAGACCCCGTCTCTATTAAAAATAGAAAGAAATTAATCGGACAACTAAAAATACATAGAAAAAATTAGCCGGGCGTGGTGGCGCATGCCTGTAGTCCCAGCTACTCGGGAGGCTGAGGCAGAAGGATCGCTTGAGCCCAGGAGTTTGAGGTTGCTGTGAGCTAGGCTGATGCCACGGCACTCTACTCAGGGCAACAGAATGAGACTCTGTCTCAAAAAAAAAAAAAAAAAAAAAAATATATTCTAAAGCTAAGAAGAAGGGAGGATAAGGGGTTAGGATTGGAGGAATGAAAAGGGATTTTTCTTGGCTATGAAATTACATGGGTTAGTAGAGGGTACGTACAGCTACCCAAAAGCCTATATATAGATAACCAGTAAACTACACCATGCCTGGTGTGTGTGTGAGTAGGTATTTTAGGGTATTCCTACTGCCTTCTCTAGAAGATCGAGGAAGCAGAAGAGCTGATACAATGGTTGGGCCAGTTTGATCTCTGAAAACCATTCAAAACTTTAGATCATTGCACAGTAGAGCAGCCTAGCCTATTTCAGTAAGTCATCAAGAACATTTTTGGTGTTCTCTGTCTTTGAATGTATTACATTTCAAATTACTAAAGCTCTCTTCTAGAACTTTCTACAAATTAGTCTGGACCTGCTGTCTATTTTAGCACAGCTTGATAGACCTACATTTCAAGGTCCTTCACAATGAGTAACGTTGATCAAGTAAATGGAGTTTGGCTTTTTATTTATTCCAGAAGGAAGTTTTATTGTTGTTAAGGCTTTTTATGTACAAGTATAACTCAGTGACATTTGTACCTTATGTGAACTCTGTATCTTTAAACCCAATTTAAATGTAAATCAGACCATGTCCCTTGCCTGCTTAAATCCCCCTGATGGTTTCCCATCTCATTTGGAATGAAATCTAAACTATTTTCCTTAACTTAACGTCATTTGAATCATCACTTACTCTCTCACCTTATCACCTACCCTTGCTTGATTACACCATTCCAGTAACATTGGTCTGTTTTCTTTATCTCAGACAAGCCAGGCTTTTATGGCCTGCGTTAGAGAGGGATTTTGACTTGCTTTTCCCTCCACTTGAAAGGCATTTCCCACTGATACCCACCAGGCTCACTCCTTCCCTTTATTCAAATTTCTGCCACATGGAACATCTGTGGAAAGACTTCCCTTTCCACCTAAAATACTGTCTACCTTCCACTAATTTCTTTTTCTTCATGGCTTTGTATCACTGGCCAAATTTACATAATATATTTATTTACCTATTTATTGGCTCTGCACTAGACTGTAATCTCTGTGAGGACTTTGTCCATCTTACCACTTGTATTAGTTTGCTCAGGCTGCCACAGCAAAATACCATGCCCTGGGTGGCTTAACCAACAGAAATTTTATTTTCTCACAGTTTGGAGGCTAGAAGTCCAAGATCAAGGTTCTGGCCTATTCAGTTTCTGGTGAGGGCTCTTCTCCTGGCTTTTAGTACAACCGTGTCATCACATAGTCTTTCCCTGGTTCCTCTGTGCAGAGAGCAAGCATGCACACAGGTGGGAGCACAAGCTCTCTGGTGTCTGTTCTTATGAGGATACTAATCCTCTTGAATCTGGGGCCCAACCATATGACCTCGTTTAAGTTTAATTACTTTCTTAGAGGCCCCTTCTGCACATATAGCCACCTTGGGGATTAATACTTCAACATATGAATGGTTGGGGGATGAGACACAAACATTCAGTCCTTAACACCATTGTATCCTCAGTGCCTACAATTGCCTGCCACATAGTAGGTGTCTGGTAAATAACTGAATTACTGAATGATTTTACTAATGTATAATTTTTAATGGTTGCATGACTTAATATTTTCACTATTGGTTTAGTATTTTCACTATATGTATGATTTTTTTATTTAGCCATTTCTCTGTGGTGCTGCAATGATCATCCACATAAATTAATCTTTAGATAAATCTAATCAGTGATATGTGATTAAGATATAAGATTTTAAAATAATAATGAGAGGCAGCATTGCATAATCTTAAAGATCATGAACTGTAGAGCCAGGCTGGATTTTAATCCCAGCCGCACCACCTGAGCAAGTTTATTTATCCTCTGTATGCTTTGGTTTATATTCCATATAAAATAGAAATGATACTAGTACATGTTTCTTACTGAATTATGAAACTAAATGAATTATTATTTGTGATGCTCCTAGTACTAGGCATCAGCCCTAAATAGTATTTATTAAATTTAAAAAATTTAAGAGGACATATTTTAAGATGACAATATCACATGTTGGTAAAATGGGAGAACTTCCATCTAGTACTAATGGAAATATAAATTGTTATAGCCACTTTGGAGGACTATTATTCACTGGCAGATTAATAAAATATTGGAATCAGCTATTTTCAGGGAGATAATGCCATCTGACACCCCAAAGTGATAAAAGAGGACAGCTAATAGGATACGTTTTTGCTTTCGGGCTGATTTAGTATTAGCTTCTTGGAGATAGCATGCTCCTTCCAGTTTTGATTCTTTCATTTTATTTCCCACTCCCAAAAGCTGCTTTCCTGCCTAAATGATTAGTGTATTGATTCCCAACGTTTGCTGCACATTTGACTCACCTGTGGATATTTAACAGTTTTCATGTCTGGCCCCTACCCCGAGACATTCTGTTGTATTTCTGTTGTGGTATAGAGTGTCACCTGGGCATTGAGATAGTTTAAAACTCCCAAGTGATTCTAATGTGCAGCAAAGTTTGGGCACCACTTGGTTAGTGGGATTTTCAAGTGGGCTGTGTTATCTCAGAAGATCTCCTTCTTCCCTTTTATCATTGGTGGAGAAGCTGATGTTCCACTCTTGGGAAATTTAGGGAGAGTGGGGGAGGGGGCAGAGTGAAGATAATCTGGGAGGCCCCTGCAGCTGGAGACTTGATCAGTTCTTCATCAAGGTCAGGTGATATGACCACATACCACAACTCATAACTCTTGTTATAATGTCTGTTAAAATGATGTGTGCAGCTAGTTGACTGTGATTTGCCATAGGATTATTTTTGCATCATTACTTACAGAGATCACTGAAATTGAGAGAAAAGATAGGCTCGACATGCTTCGGTTATGTGGTATAGTTGGTATAAACTTGGAAAAAAACAGTTAAATCATGCAGTTAAACAACATTTCAATATAATTAAAAATCAGGCACTTTCAGTGGCAATTCTTATAGACAAAGATAGAGATTATAAGCATTTTCATGGTAGACACAGATCAGTTTGATTTATGTAATTTATAATGTTTTGCATATAATAGATACAAATAAATACTGTGGATCAGTTCATTCAGATTTGAGATTTTAATTTTGTCAGTTATTTATTGAATATCCTAAGTCTAGACCAGTGCTGTCTGGTAGAAATACGAGGGCCACAAATGCAATTTAAGATTTTCTAGTAACCACATTTAAAAAGGTAAAAAGAAACAACTGAAATTAATTTCAATAATACATTTTATTTAACCCAGTATATCCAAAATATTATCATTTCAACATATAATTAATATAAAAACTCACTAATGAGGTATTTGAGATAGTCTTTCTCTCTCTCTCTCCTTCTTTCCCTCTCTCCTTTCCCCTCTTTTTCTCCCTTTCCCTCTTTTTTGCACCAAGTCTTCAAAATCATGGGATTATTTTATACTTTGAACTAGCCACATTTCAAGTGCTCAGCAGCTACATGTTACTAGTGGATACCAAACTGGACAGCACAGGCCTAGATTATCCCTTTAGGACTGAGTTGTCTGACCACAGATATTTTTTAAGTAGATTATGTATTTCAGTTGTCCTTAGATCCCAGTTTCTCTCCCCAAAACTTTTTTCTGCATAGACTTTTTTCATCAGTATTCATTTCTCAACAGCTTTTTTTAAAAACCAGTTTTATTGATATATAATTTACATACCATAAAGTTCACCCATTTAAAGCACATACTTCAGTGGTTTTTAGTATATTTACAGTTGTACAATCATCAGCATAATCTAATTTTGGCACACCCTCCCTCAGCCCCACGAAGAAACTCCATACTTATTAAGCAGGCATTCCCTATACAGACGGTCCTTAACTTATGGTGGTTTGACTTAGGATTTTTTAACTCTACAGTACATTGTGTGGCTAGACGATTTTGCGTAACTGTAGGCTGTTGTAAGTGTTTAGAACATGTTTATGGTAAGCATCATAAGTTGAAGAGGGGAGGGTCTGTATCTCCCTCACCCCTCCATCCTGCCTCTGGCAACCACTAATCTATTTTCTGTCTCTAGATTTGGCTATTCTGGGCATTTTATAGAAACAGGATAATACACTATGTGGACTTTTATGACTGGCTTCTTTAACTTAGCATACTCTTTTCAAGATTCATCCTTGTAGAGACCACTATTTGCCTGTGATTTTGAATGTCACTATGGTTCTATAGGATATTTGCACAATGAACTTAATTAAATGCCTGAATAGAAAAATAATTGCCATACTATTAGTGTTGATTGTTGTGTAGCTAGTGTTAGAATTATGTTTGGCTAGGAATGTACAAGTGGAATTAAAATCTTAGTGGAAGCAGACAAATAGTTTACCTGGTTAGATAAGCTCTTAGTAGGGAAGTGCACAAGGAGTTACATACATGTAAGAATGAAGTTAATATTTTTAACATTTTTCCTTAAGGACCAGAGTAATGCGGAGAAGCACGCAGATGGAATTATAGTAAGTTTAATCTAATCTTTTTGTCTCCCTTTACTTCTGCAGAGCATTATAACCAGTCATATCAGGAGAAGCCTGAATTTCTACTCACATTTCAACGCAAATTCTTCTTTTCACCTACTCACTGCTTTATGTTTTTGACTCTTGCAATTTTCTTTGACTCCTAAAGTTGGCCATCTTTCAGCAGTCATTTGAAGGGGAAATAACAGTCTTAAAATTTTTCTGAGTCTTGGTTCATATTGAATCACTTTGCATGTGTTAACTTGAATCATGGTATGAAAAGTCGGCTTTTACGATTAAATAAGGTATAACTCAATGCCATATTTCTTGTCAAATTTTCTTTTATCATATGAATGCAGAGGGGGAGGAGAAATATTGAAACCTATCATAATCTAATCAAATGTGTTTATAGATTCCTGTTATTTTCTTATCTTTTAGCTTTTGTGTATTTTGTTAACTGTCACCGGTAATGTGGTATATGCGGCATTTTTGTTGGAACAAACTACATGACCTCTTTCACTTATAGCCATTTTCTTATTCTTTCCTTTGTCTTGTCTTTTTACCCTTCCCTTATATTCAACGTCCCCTCTAAAAAGACATAAGAAAATTTTATTTTTAGTATTTCTCAGGTAGAAATAAAACAGTTTGAAGGTTTATAGTTTGTGCTACCCTAGTTTTATGGTAGCTGAATGACTTCTGTTCAGACTATTTCTGAAGTAGAAGGCAGCCTCTTTTTTTGTCCTGGGCTTTACAAGTGCCAGCTTGTCTGAGATCTGGAAACACATTTTGTAAATCTTCAAAAACATCTCATAATTATACTGAAAGAATGAGCATGTTATCTTTATATTTGGTTTACAATTTTAAAAAGAAGTTAAATATCTATGTTGTTTGCATATTCTTAATAAAGCAGAAATAAACATTTTTGAAATGTGAATTAAGTAGATTGTATTTTTGCCTGTTCAAAGTGTGAGCCACAGTGAAATAATACAATTGTATAATATAAAGTGATACAATGTCGTCTTCTGAGATGTCACTGAAGATTGTGAACCCCAAAGGGGAAGGACTGGATGTGTTGTCTAGCATTTCATGGTCCCCAAAGACCTAAAGAGAATCATATTGGTTATTATTTTGATCTTTTTCCTCAAAGCCAAATTAGTTACTTTATATTGTGTTAAAAAATAGGCAGGGTTTTACGAAGCATGCCAAAAACTTTTGATCATTTGCAGTTAAAAACATCTAGAAAGTTTATACTCTTTGAAACTTTAAACTTGTCAAAAAAACACATTTGTATCATTTGCTCAGGGACTATAGCATTTTTCCTTATGAGTTTTTATTTTGGAGAAACAAGGGAACTGTTCATAATATAGCCAGACTTCTTGAGTTTGAATAATAAAGCACCTGTTCATGATATAGCCACACTGCTTGGCTTTAAATAAAACAATCCTGCCGCTTACTATCTGTTACCTTGTGCAAGTTACAAAGTCTTAATTTCTTCATCTATAAAGAAAGCTGAAAGATTCTACCTCAGAAGGTTGTTGTAAGATACAAAATGAGCACACAGTATTCAATAAATGTCAGCTATATATGCTCATATGTATATATAATTTATTGCATATCATATTCTATTACATGAATTTCATTAATGTCATAGTGGATTAGGCATGAGGATTATTACTTATGCTTCTCAAGCTCTGCACCTTGATTTTTAAAGCAAGTTGTAGAATATAATATGACATATTTTAGCCTGAAGTTGATTGACCAAAGACTATAGATAAGTGTAGAAGAGTTACTTTTTCTATCAACAACAAAAAGATTAAGTACTTTTAATATATACTGTCAAAAAACAGAATTACAGCAAATTTATCTGTAGATCTAATTGTCTTTTGTTCTTGATTCATGAATTGGGGCAGCCTCCATTCTATAAAATAGAATGAGAACTCCTGCTGGACAATGGCAGAACATTGGGTTTTGTGAGGTGGGAACAAGGAAACAGAACAATAGCAAAAAGGCTGATTGGTTAATATCAGATTACTTTTCTTGTAAGGGTTAAGGCAGAGAGTACTTCCTTATTACACTGACTCAGATAGACTGGAATCTCCTATTTTTAAGAAAAACTGGTCTGTTTTGGTATGTTTTGTTTTCTTAGAGTTCATTGTAATTATGTGGCATTTAATGTGACTGATTCCATTTTGGTTTGGTCTGGTCTGTTGAGGCCTCATGCAGGAGCTTAGTATTAACATAAAACAACCGTCTTCCATAATTTTTGTTTGACGATGCAAAAAAGTCTAAAAGTGTTTTCTTTGGTTGACAAGCCTAATCTTAAAACAGTTCATCTGGAAAACAAAAGATTACATCTAAAAGTTAGAATTCTGGTCCTTTGTTCCAAAGTTATTTCTTAGTCTCTTCAATGGGTGGGATAAAGAGATGATATATTCTCATTCCTGTGGATCAAGGTGTTAATGGAGGGATTTTGCCTTTGTAAAGTACTTGGAGTCCTTTGGAGAAAAGCACTCTGTAAACAAGGAATTTATTTTAAGAACAGCTCCAGGACTGTTGAGACACTTGTTTAGTTATTATGACTTGGTTCAGCATCAGAAAATAGAATCCAAGTAATAACCAGAAAGTCCTTAGCACCCCTATAAATCCAGGCTCTTCTTTATTTTACAGACTAGGAAACTTTGGCCCATAGTGGATAAGAGACTTGAGGATCCTAAGAAATTAAAACTCATTGCTTTTCTGTTTCATTGCTTTTCTCAATGCTTCAAAACATTCCCCACTTCACTTTTACTAGGTTTTTGATTATCAGTGATTGTTTTCAGGGCGTCTTCTCTAACCATCCTTTATTTTTTAGTTAGAATATTTATGGTAGATAGACTATTATAATGGCAAGAATCAGAATTCTTGTGTTCTAATCACTTAAGAGATCTGATTTAACGATTTTAAATATTTATGTAGATGGGATATTTGGCTTAAAAAATTTTTAACTTAGATATTAAATGAGAAGTCTACAAGAACTTTACCATTATTTCAGTGTCCATCATTAGGTGCTTTTAAGGTTTTACAGATACTTTTGGGGCTCATTCATTAGCAAAATATTTCCCTTATAATTCTGTTTTCATGTTTTCTGTTACACTCTACCTAACATATATTTGAAGTTTAGTTTTCCAGTTCAAGGAAAGGTAAAGAATTTGAATTTTCATTTCTTGGGTTTGTCCGGTTTATTCTTCTAAATGGTAGATTTATACTTTATTCTGACAAAGACCTGGCTTAAAATCCCCCCTCCCTTAAAAAAAAAAAACAGTGAACTATGGAGTCTTAAAAATGCCATTATGCTATCAGAATAATTTCTTGGCTTGGAATCAGAGAAACCTGGCCTTACTTTTCCCTCTAAAATTATAACAATAAGTTTGAATATTTTTTTTTCTCTTCTAAATCCTCAAAAAGAAAGTCCTCTTCCCCACACAACCCCAATTAGAAGATACATCTCTTTCCCTTTAGTGACCGTAGAACTAGATGTCTATACAGTCAACCCTCTGCAACCATGGATATCTCATCCGTGAATATGACCAACCACAGATCAAAATATTTGGAAAAAAAATTGCCTGTGTACTGAACGTGTACCGACCTTTTTCCTTACTATTCCCTGAACAATACTGTATAACAATTATTTACTTAGCTATTACATTGTATTAGGTATTAATATTATAAGTAATCTAGAGATTTAAATTATATGGGAGAATATGCATAGGTTATGTGCAAATACTATAGGGACTTAAGCATCTGTGGATTTTGGTATCTGAGGGGATTCTGGAACCAGTTCTCCACAGATATCCAGGGACTGCTGTACTGTGTGATACATAGTGATGGAAAGTAGCAGTGGTATGGGATGGAAAGATGAAATCCTATTGTTACAGGTACATTAGCTGGTCATAGGTGTAATGTTTAATACCAAAACGAGAGAATTTCTCTGTCTTTGATAGAGAAACAATATTTGTGGTGGATTAAGAATTTGAGAAGCACTCATTTGAGAGGTTATTGTTTTGGCTTCCTGAAATCTCCCCACACCATTTTACAACTCCTTCCAAGTTTTTCCATTTAGCTTTACCTTCTTATATGACAGAGATTCATCCATTTTCCCTCCTTACTATGCTTTATTGTAAGAAACTCTCACACTTTTTTATAGAAAAGGTATTTTATTTCCTCTTTGCATTTTGATCAACATATCTATATAACTAACCTAGGATTTTCCTGTCAGAAATATGGGCATTTCATTCATTTGGGAGGGTCAGCATGAGAAAGGCATTTAATTAAAAATTACTATGTTTCTTTATCTTAGAGTACTATTAATCCTGTAGATGCAGTATATCAACCTAGTCCCTTGGAACCTGTTGTGATCAGCACAATGCCTTCCCAGACTGTCTTACCTCCAGGTATAGTATTTGGAAAAATGTTTCATACATTCATTAATGAGAAAAAACTTGTGTGGCTGTCGTAATAATTTTAGCTCTTTCTGAATTTCTTTTGTTGTTTGTTTTTAATAAATAAATAAAAGGGACCAAAAAATAATACAACAGAAAATGAACTGGAAGAAGTTGGATAGTGTTTTTTGATATTGGGGCTTTTGAAGTATAATGAAAGGAGTTTTGGTTTACAAAGTGAGATGGAAAACAAACATGGTTACTAAGACTTGGATTAGCTGGTAGGACAGAATCCTATGACTCACAATTTATGACTAGCAAGGAAAAATTAATATACCCGAATAAGGGTAATCTAGAAATGTTCTGGTTTGGGGCATTCTTTATAGCTCTGAACAATACGAATGGTTTATTCATGGTAGATTTTTACATAATGAGAAATGGAAGAATAAAATTTATGATAACCTACTGATAATATCTGTATTTTTAAGTATAGAGCAATAATACTGTTACTTTTTAAAATTGGCAAAGAAGGGTTCAGGGCTGTACTTGATTCCTTTGCCTTTTTGTCGTATCCAGCATTTCTCCCATCCAAGTACTAACCAGGCCAGACCCTGCTTAACTTCTGAGATCAGATGAGATTGGGCGCATTCAGGGTGGTATGGCCATAGACTGCATCAACATCTCTTTGTTCTCAGTGATGATATAGTGAAGCCTGAAATTGTATTGTAAAAGGGAAAATCCTTTTTAAAAAATGCTTACAAGTGTCCAGGCGTGGTGGCTCCTAGCACTCTGGGAAGCCAAGGCAGGAGGATTGCTTGAGTCAGGAGTTAGAGACCAGCCTGAGCAAGAGCGAGACCCCGTCTCTACAAAAAATAGAAAAATTAGCTGGGCATGGTGGCACATGCCTGTAATCACTGCTGCTTGGGAAGCTGAGGCAGGAGGATCGCTTGAGCCCACAGGAGTTTGAAGTTGCAGTGAGCTATGATGACGCCACTGCGCTCTTGCTGGGATGACAGGGACGCCATCTCAAAAAAAAAAGAATACTAACAAGTATGTGAAATTCTTTTGTGAATTTTTACTCCTAAAGAGAATTAGTTTAATATCTCTTAGGGGACTAAAGAAGAGGTACTACCATTGGAAGCATTTGTTGGTTTTACAGAGCAGTTGTACTGTGGTATTGGGCTACCATGGCTGATCTTTTGATGTGCTGCCTGGTGTCTTTGTACTCTGTAACATATCGAGTTTGAGAGTTTAGAAAGTCAGGAGTAGTAGCATAGAACTCGACTTAATGAAATAATATAGTTTCAAAAATTATTGATCTGTAAGATTTTGAATCCCAAACAATTGCAGTCAACAGAGTGTGTGTTTGTTTGTTTGTCTAACTTATTTTACACGTTCAAATCTCCTAGAACCTGCTCAGTTGTGTAAGTCAGAGCAGCGTCCATCTTCTCTACCAGTTGGACCTGTATTAGCTACTTTGGGACATCATCAGACTCCAACACCAAATAGTACAGGTACAGATTTGTGTAATTCTTTTACTTAATTCCCCATTAACATTTGAAATTTGTGTTTGCTGATGGGGTGGTGGGAGGCTTGAAGAAATGTGTTATATATTTCTGTTGGCGATATCTTAGTTTTACCATTATAGTTCCATGCATGAAGTGGTTAACTTTGTGATTGAACCAGAAGCTTTAGTAAGTAATTATAATTTAAATAAAATAAAATATTACAGGGTTTTGTTTACCTTAGGATTTATTTGGGAGATCTATATTGACTTTTTAAAAATATATACCCATGTTAGACTTGCATGCTCTTTTTGTAAAGGAATCAGATGATGCAGAAGAAAAGCTGAAAGTCCTCTCTACTCTCCCCTCAGTCATTTGCATGCACGTATAATATGTGCATATACACCTGTATTATGTATTTTTATTGCTGTTTTTGTTTTAACCTAATGAGGTCATGTGTTTCTGTGACTTACTCTTATCGTTTAACAGAGAACACCTAGAGAGCTTTCCATGTTCATACAGTTAGGCCTAGAGCATTCTTTTTACAGCTGCCTAGGTGGGTATTACTTGTTTTTTCCACTGATGGACATTTAGGTTGTTTCCATTATTTTTCCATTATTGCTGTTATGAGCAATACTTTAATGATATCTTTGTACAGCACCATGGGCACAGGTATTTTTTTAGGAAACATATATCAGTCTTTCACTTTTAGCCAATTTTATAGGCAGAAACAAGATACTTCATTTTATTTTGTGTTTTCTTAATTTGTTTAGATTTATGGTCTTTATTTTTTCTCTTTTATAAGGATACTATTAATGTTAGATGTTAGATTTATTTCTTGTTTTAAAACTAATTAAATTTAATTTGAGTTACCTGTAGAACCAAACTCAAGGAAGCACTTAGTGCTTTTGACCCTGTTAAACCTGGAGACTAAAACCAGAACCACTCATGAGGAGGTGAAAGGTCAGCCCCTGTTGTTCCTCCACAGATTTCCTTCCTGGGTGGGACCTTTCCCTGCGTAATAAAGAAAAATTGCCATGTAATTTTAGCCCACTTTAATATTGAATTAGTAAAGGTACTGATGCTATTACTTTGGTCTTTAATAACATGGGCAGATGCCTTCTGCATTTTGAAAGAAAAAATCATCAACAAGAGCTTACTTAAAGCTCTTGGGAAAATACTGATAAGCAATTTGAAAAATGAAGTTGAAATGTTTTGGCTGATTTCTGTATTTCATAACCTATGTCACTTTGTTCCTTTAAAAAGTAATACCTTGTATGGTTTTCAGTTTGTTTTCTATGAGGTGAAAAAGTGAGGAGCTCTTCCTTATGTACATTAATTGTAAAATAAATTATTTCAGAAGCTAAAGATTATCTTTTAAAAATTATTTCAGAAGATACTTCAGAACCTAACATTTTAGAGGAGGTAGATTTAAAGAAAATTTGAAAATTAAATCAGAATGTTATTTATGACTTTCTTGTATGATTTTTTCATCCTAACTTCATTTTTCTCCATCTTTCTTTACCTCTAATACAAAAAAGAAATAAAGGAAGAACTAAGAAGTAATATTTGCTGTCATTAGTAAATCTCAATTCTTTTATTTGCAATTCCCAGTCAAACTCATTTTCTTCTCAGACACATTTTCAATTGTGTGATCACCTGGAGTATGTCCACATTACTTAATCATTTATAATTCCTGGTCTACTTTTTCCTATTCCAATAAGACAACATTTCTTTCCCGTCTTATCTCTGCTATTGGAGAAAAGGAATTTGAAGTTATTTGCTAAAGTGTGAGCTACCTTTGGAATTTTCAAAGTATTACCTTTCAGAAGGCAAATTTTTTGTGTTGTGGTTTAAAAATATCTTTGTGACCCTGTCAACTGTGTGGCAAACTGATTTGCTCTTTTCCATAACTTTTGAACCATAAAGAAATTGGCTAAAAATCTGTGAACGGCTCTGGATTTTTATTGCTGTCTTCAATTTCTTCCAGAACTGTGGCCCTGGCTTTTGGATTGCCAACAGGGACCTAATAAACTTTAATCTCAACCGGGCATCTGCAGTAGATTAGCAGAAACTGCCTAAGAGCCTTTAGATGCTCAATAAGTTAAATTGATCTTGATGTTCCATTGTCCTGATTTATACTTCTGTTGTTACTTTATTATTAGACAGTACACCAGGGGATCAACTCAGAGAACAGAGGGTAATCATTTTTCTCTGGTTCTCCTTTAATTTCTATTGTTAGACTGTTTAGGAATAGAAGTTCTTTCCAGTCTTTTCCTTTTCTACATTCTACTCATAGCAGCCCTCTGTTTTTATCTCTGCCTCTGAGCCCCAGGTACCTGACTTAGGTGGAAAAGAAATGAGGAATTTGGATGGGGTGTGTGTTTTCCATGCGACTGCCAAAAAATATTGACTAATGTGGACATGATACACTGAACAATATTTTAATGTTCGTGTGGTCTTGATATTCTTTCCATTTTATATTCCCTTTGGCTCACTGCCATGTTTTTAGTTATCTGGGTCGACCGTGTAAAATAAGATCCTTAGCTTCTCATTGGTACTGGTATCTGTTGTGGGACTTCCAACACCAAAACTCACGTAGTCAAGAGCTCCCTTCCTAATTTTAAATGTAAATTAATCTTTACTTGTAGAATGAGGACATAGCATTATTTTCATTTTTAAATAAAGGTTTTTAAACTAAGGTTGTGCCTTCATTCTATAACATGATTTGCCTTTTTCTTTGTGTAGTTGAAATACTAATTTTATTTACAAATAGTATAGGGACTTCTACTAACTTAACTAAACTTTCTTAATTTCAGGAAGATCTGCTTTGACCCTATCTTCCTAATTTCTTCCCCACTAATACCAACATTTTTCTCTAATTAAAAAATGTTTTTAACTTCCTAGGCAGTGGCCATTCACCACCTACTAGCAGTCTCACTTCTCCAAGCCATGTCAACTTATCTCCAAATACAGTCCCAGAGTTTTCTTATTCTAGCAGTGAAGATGAGTTCTATGATGCTGATGAATTCCATCAAAGTAGCTCATCCCCAAAGCGCCTAATAGAGTAAGTAGAAGAACAAAGTATGTATCTAAATGACTCTTGATTTTTAAAAATGTAATGTGATTTTAGGACTGCTATTAATGACAGATTTGCCTTATAAATTATTATTTGGGAACAGTAAAGAAGACAACTTATTTTTTCTAGGTTTTAAATTGATTTAATGGTTGTATAGACAACTTTTTTTTGACACAGAGTCTCACTCTATAGCCCTGGGTAGAGTGCAATGGCGTCATCGTAGCTCATTACAACCTCAAACTCCTGGGCTCAAGTATCCACCTGCCTCAGCCTCCCAGGTAGCTGGGACTACAGGTGTGTGCCACCATGCCCCGCTAATTTTTTCCATTTTTGGTAGAGATAGAGTCTCACTCTTGTTTAGGCTGGTCTTGAACTCCTTACCTCAAGTGATCCTCCCACCTCAGCCTCCCAGAGTGTTAGGATTATGGGCATGAGCCACCCAGCCTGGACAACTTACTTTTAACTAGCTTATGGAGCAAAGCCAGTTCTATTTTACTTCTGACTTAATCCAAATGGAATAAATAGCACCAGCTATAGTAATGTGCTGATGTTATTAGTTGAACTCTGGACATTGCTATGGCTCCAGCATTAGGAGATGATCCAATGAGAGCGATTAAGCTACAAAGCATTATACAGATAAGAGGTTACTGTTAATTTTTTTTTTTTTTTTTAGAGTGGAGATATTCACCACCTATAAGCCAGGCACTATATTAGGTGAAGGGACGATACAGAGATTAAAAAGACCCTGGTTATTCTCTGATGAGTGGGGGGAAAAAAAATAGAAATTAAAGAAAAAGACCCAGGCCCTGCCCACAAAGAACTTATAGTCTATGAGGGAACAGACAAACATTCATAATCCAATGGGATATGTGGTATGGTATCTAAGTCCATTTGGGCTGCCATAACAAAATATCGTAAACTGGGTAGCTTATACACAACAGAAATTTCTCACAGTTCTAGATGCTGGGAAGTCCAAGATTAAGACACCAGTGGATTTGGTGTCTGGTGAGCCTGCCTCCTGGTTCATAGACAGCTGTCTTCTCACTATGTCCTCACTTGGCAGAAAGGGAGGCCTAGAGAACTCTCGGGTCTCTTTTACAGGGGCACTAATCCTGTTCCTGAGGGCACCACCCCATGATTTAATCACGTCCCAAAAGCCCCCCACCTCCTAATACTATCACACTGGTGATTAAGTTTCAATATATGAAGGGGTGGGCGTGGGGGACAAGCATCCAGACCATAGATATGGTAAGGATAAGCACAGAAAGCTATGGGACGTTTTGAAGTATTGAGAAGCCAAGGAAGGATTCCCAGAGGAGGGAGGGGATGTGATCCTAAGGTGAGATGTGGTTGAATAGAGAGAAAAGAAATGGGGATGAGGAGAGGAGGGAAAATGGAAATGTTCTCATGTAGATGGAACCCTGTTAGGAAGGCCTAGAAGCTAGGTGAGCTTGGTTTCTTTGGGGAGCTGTACATATGAATAGTTTATGACTGAAGCATACGGTATGGTGAGCAGTTTTTAAAAAAAAAGATACAGAAGAAAGTTGACAAGGGCCAGGGCATGAAAGAGTCCTTGAGCCTTTTAAGAATTTTGAACATTTTCTCACAAGTGATGGCAGTTGCTGGTGAGATTTGCATTTTAAAAAGATAGATTTGCCTAATTGTGTAGAATTGAATGCAGGGGGGTAGGATTACAGGTAGGAAGACCAGCCAAAACCTGGTAGTAAATTGAGAAATGTAGATGACTTGCACAAAGTTGGTAGTATTGGGAATGGAAGGAAGTGTGTGGGTTCCAGACATAGTAAGAAAGCAGATATTTGACAGATTTTATAATAGGTTTTCCCTCGTTAGGAAATATTTGACCTTTTTACATCATTGAATGAAAGCTAGGTATCTACCATTGTACAGAAAAGGTTTTAACAGGCATTTACATGTTAGCCAATAAGCAAAATACGTTTTGGATTCTGGAATCTCAGAATGAGTTCTAAGTCTGTTTTGCTTCAAAAGTGTGTGACCTTGGTCAGGTTCTTTAATTTTTGTAAGCCTCAGTTTCCTCATTTGTAAAATAAGGATAATAAAAGTTTTAACTTCAAGGGGTCACTGAATATTTAAATGAGAATAATGTAAGTTGAGTGCTTAATATAGTGTCTGGCACTTAATCACTCAATAAATAATAGCTGTTATTACAGAAAGCAAATTATTTATTTGCTTTCATTTTACTTGTGTTTGTCATAGACGTAGTTGGTTTAGTTTTCGCTGGGTGTTTTTTCCAACTCTTCTAATTTCTCCAGGGTTGGTACTATTGCTATAGCTTGGGTTTTTGCTTTTTAAGACAGTGCAAATTTGGAAATAATTATATGTGAATTTGCAAGCTAAGTACCATCAACCAGTCCTTAGACCTTTAAGGTTAGTTTCTTTTAATAAAAAATATCGGGCAGGACTCTAGTTCTCTTAAGTGTGCACATGAATTGAGAAATATGTCATTCATATATATTAATAATTGCAGCATAACTGCTCAGAATCTTGGCATTTTTAAGGAAAATGTTGGTTCATGAAATTTTTTGACTTGGTCAAATTCAACGTGTTTTTTTTTTTTTTTTTGAGACAGAGTCTCACTATGTTGCCCGGGCTAGAGTGCCATGACGTCAGCCTAGCTCACAGCAACCTCAAACTCCTGGGCTGAAGCAATCCTTCTGCCTCAGCCTCCCGAGTAGCTGGAACTACAGGCATGTGCCACCATGCCCGGCTAATTTTTTCTATATATTTTTAGTTGTCTGGTTAATTTCTTTCTATTTTTAGTAGAGACGGGGTCTCTCTCTTGCTCAGGCTGGTTTCGAACTCCTGAGCTCAAACAATCCGCCCGCCTCAGCCTCCCAGAGTGCTAGGATTACAGGCGTGAGCCACAAATTCAACTTTTGAATATGGGAAAAAATGAAATATATTTGGTCTAGCTGAACAAATACAGTTAAGGCATGGCACTTGAGTTAAGGAAGGGAGGTTTGAATCAACCACTCAAGAAGGCCAGTTTAGCAGAAATGATTTGGTTTAGCATTTTGGTTTCTTAATGTTGTATGTTGGGAGATAAACTATTGAGAAACCATTAGCAGTTTGCCAATAGAAATTTCAATTTAATTTCAAAAAACAATTTTTATGATAATGGATTAAAAGAAAAGCATTTGGAAAATTCCAAGGTAAAGATTATTATCGATTTTTGAAGGGTTTGATCATTGTTTTATTAAAACAGAATTAAAGACAGTATCTTACACTAGACACAAGCTATGATTCTAGGTATAGTTGGATATCACTTGTTAGTATATGGACTCACGTGTCTGTCATCTAAAACAGCACCAAGGACCAGTTTTATGAAAGATAATTTTCCCAGGGATAGGGTGGAGAGTGGGTGGAGCTCAGGTAGTGATGGGAGGGGTGGGGCATGGTTGTAAATACAAACGAAGCTTCCTTGACTGGCCCACCGCTTACCTCCTGCTGTGTGTGTGGTGGAGGGGGGCTTCCTAAGTTTCATGAAAGACAATTTTTCCATGGAGTAGGGAGGGGTGGTGGTGCAGGGGGAGAGGGGTGGAGCTCAGGCGGTGATGCACTGCCCACTTCCTAACAGGCCACGAACCAGTATGGGACCATGGCCTGGGGGTTGGGACTGCAGCTCTAAAAGCATATGACTATTTTCAGTAAAAGCTTAATGTTAATAATATGTGATTAGATCCTTATAACATCACTGATAGTCTCTGGCCCAGTTTCGGGGATTCTCCTGAAAGTTTTATGAAATAGAGACATTTAAAACACCTGTTGTACCTGTAGTAGGCATGCCTGCAAAGCCATCCACATGCTCGTTTGCCTCTCCTTTCCTCCCTCTTTTAGGCTTCCTTCTCTGCCCTCCCTAGTACCTGATCCCATAACAAAAACGCAGTACATGAACCTCTCATTTGAAAGGGTCCAGAGTTAAGTTTTATGTTCAACTAACCCACTCTAGTTTCCTTTTCTCTCTCAATTTCACACTCTCCTTATATACCCTAACCTAGAAGCCCAAACTGGTAGGGAGTGCAGATGTTTTATTTGGGTAGCACAGTGTTCTGTTGACTTGTTTTTGTTTTGTTTTTTTAATGGGGCTTTAAATCTCTTCAGCTTGGGTATACTGGCTCCAGTTCCATATTTTTATAGCTTGGCCCTATTCATATATTTATGTTCTCTGTCCAGCCTCTGTAGTCATTTGAGCTTGTGACATCTGCTGGTCATCGTCAGCTGCTATCACTTGTTTGTAACTCTAAGGATTTCTATCTACTCTTTTCTCTGTCTTTCTGAAGAAAGAGAACTTGAAAGCTTAAGTCCTTTCACTATTCTGTTTCTAAAGACCTGTAGTAATGATAGCTCCTGTGAATTATGTTATTGAGCAGTGTGGTTTTCACGTTTGTAAATTAGATGAAATTACTTGTTGGAAAGGACTTATACTTTGGAGCCAGGCATGCATCTGAAATGGCTTCACTATGCTCCAGCGTATGACTTCAGGCGGGTCACTGAACCTCTGAGCATCTGTGTATTATGGAGAGTAATTATGTCTACCTTATAGGGTTGTTTTGAAGGTAATACACATACAGTGTATGGCTTCATACATACTAGGTACTCAAATTGTTATTATAATTAATTCAGAGCTTTAAATGTTTTGGTATACTTTATATCTTTTACTTGAATTCTAGACAGCTTAGTCCATTGCATATAAACCTTTCCTGTATGCATATTTGTTATCGTTTGTCTTTAACTATATTCTTTATATCCTTTGTTCCATAAGGTAAATTATGGAATGGCTGAGAATTTATCCTATTTCTTTCCATTTTCAGCCTTATTGAGTATTTCACTTGGCCCAGACATGGTTTCTAACCATGGATAAGGTTAGAAATGTAAATAGATCTGATTTTTGGAATTGCATCTAACCTGAGATTCTAGTTTTATAGGATTTGGGGTTTTCAGATCAATTGATTTAAAAAATTAACTCTATTTTGATGGTGTATGAAAGAGCCACAAAACATTTGGAAGATAATTTTCATGCAGTTCTTTTATTTAATGATAATTTGATTTTTCTTGCCTAGGTCTTTTACTCAATATTTTCCATTGCCTCTCTAAACTGGTGAGGTAGACATTAGTTACAGTACAAAGAAGCAATATTTAGTTACCTAAGGAGTTTTGAAAAATAGATCAAAAGAAGGTAAGTAACCAGGGCAAACTGTTTAAATTAGAATACATAATATATTCTAATATTCTAGGTGTTCTGATACAAGCAGAGTCCAGAGGATTTTTAGGGCAGTGAAACTTTTCTGTATGATATTATGGTGGTGGATACTTATAATACATTTGTCAAAGCCCGTAGATTGCACAGTGCCAAAGGTGAACCCCAATGTAAACAATGGACTTTCTGTAATAATGATGTGTCAGTGTAGCCTCATCGATTGTAACCAATGTGCCACTCTGGTGTGGGATGTTGATAGCTGGGGAGGTTGTGCATGTTGTGTAGGGACAAGAGGGGAACTCTGTGCTTTCTGTTCAATTTTGCTGTGAACCTAAATCTGTTCTATAAAATGAAGTTTATTAATTAAAAAATGAAAAGAAGACAAGTAACAACGGCAAACTATGTTTAAATTAGAACATGTAATATGTTTCACACGTGTAGATTTATTATAAATACCTGTAGTATGAGAAATTTGGTTTCCATTTTTACATTTAATAAGTAAACTGCCTTTCTGATTATGCTTTTATTTATATACAAATACATGGGTAAGTTTTAATCACAGTTATGATAATTTAATAGAAGCTTTCTTTAGACCTGCTAACCAGTTCATAAAGCCAGTTACTGTAAGTTTACTGGTTAAAAAAATATATATGCTTTTTCATTTTATAATTTCAATTACAGTTTTCTAATGACTGAGAAGAATGTTAGTACCAATGTGGGCTTTTATTACAGGGTCTCAAAAATATAGACAAGACACCTTTCTGAGACTTAGTAATAGACTACTGCCAGTTTTTAGTTTCTGGAAATTGTTGCCAAGAATTGTGACATATCTACATTTATACAAAGTAACAAAATCAGAAAATGAACTCTAGTTTTAAACTTAGATGCAGAGGCAAAAATCTCACTAATTTTTGATGACCTGTGCCTTGCCTTTCAACGTGATTTGGTTGAGCACACGCTATGCAAAAAGCACAAGATGAGAGCTCGTCATCAGACTTTACAGTTTACAATCTTAGAATGAGGGTGGCAGGGAGAGAGTTGGAAAGTGTATGCGTGTATGTGTGCAAAACCAGCTAACTGTAAGAGTCTAGTCTCTGTCACTATGTGGATATGTTGGTTAAGTAGCTTTGTAGGCTTGTCTTACGATGTTTACAAATTGATTTCCTTAGCTGAAGAAAGTTATTAATGTTTTTTTAGTTCTTCTGGATCTGCCTCAGTTTTGACACACAGCAGCTCGGGAAATAGTCTGAAGCGCCCAGATACCACAGAATCACTGAATTCTTCTATGTCCAATGGAACAAGCGATGCTGGTAAGTGACCTTTGAGAATTTAACTTTTTTTTTTTCCTTAAAAACATTTGTAATACTGGTAGAAACACAAGTTGGCCCAATTTAACACCAATATGACAAGATTTGTTTTATTTTAGACCTTTTCGATTCACATGATGATAGAGACGATGATGGGGAGGCAGGGTCAGTGGAGGAGCACAAGAGTGTCATCATGCACCTCTTGTCACAGGTTAGGCTTGGAATGGATCTCACTAAGGTAAGAACCAGGTTTGGCATTTGCTGTAAGTCTTAACTAGTGTGTGTGGATTCTCAGTGGTTGTGTGGTGAATGTGCTTATAAATATAGTAAAATGACATCACTTCTGTCCATACTTGTGCTGTGTCGTGATTTAATTAACATATATGTAGATGAGTAAACTGAAAATTTTGTAAATGGATGAAATAAGTGAAGCTAGGATAATTTTACAGAGGATAATATGTATGTGTTGTATGGATTAAGATTTGGAGTTTATTTAGGGCAAATGGGGAATAGGAATAACACTGGGCTTGTTTAGTAGTTTGGGCAAAACTTAAAGCAATGTTGTATGCAGAGAAATCAAAATGAGCAGAGTTCTGACCTTGAGATCAGAGGACCTGTGTTTGCATCCTACCTCTGCTATTACCAAACCATGTGGCTTGAGCAAGTCCCTGCCCCTGTGATCTTCAAGGCTCTCACATGCAAAGTGGACATATAGCGACCTACTTCACAGGGTTATTATAAGGAATAGACGAGGTAGTGAATCTAAAATTATATGACACATATTGAGTCACACAATTACTGTAGCCTGGATTTGAATTTGAATTTAAATTTAGTGCTCTAAACAGAATCCCTGATTGAGTTAAGAGACTGGTACCTTTGTATACTCATGCCACTGTGCTAGAAGTCTTATCCTTTTGATTCTCACCACAGAACTGCAAAGTAGGTGTTATTGTTAATTCCGTTTTATAGATGAGGAAACTAAAACTCACAGAAGTTAAGTAACGTGGCTGAGTCATATTAAGTGGCAGACTGAGATTCTAATCTGGTCTGTGATTTTAAGACCTGTAAGCTTTCCACTACTGCCTTTGTCTTTAAGACGAGCTGTAGTAGCTTTCATATTGGTTAAATTACTATTCTACCCAGCCTCAGAAAGTTAATTAAATTTAGAAATTTCACTTCTGTTATGACAAAATCAACTCCAATGCTGTAGTCAGTAGTGAGCTTCATTTTGGTTTTGGATTTAGAGGGCCATTAAAAAAAAGACTAATCCATAATATTTAATCACTTATAATAAGGATTTATAATAGAACCTCTACCCCTAATCTAAGTGAGAACAAAAACACAAGGATAACATTAATTTGTGAAGCCCAGCATACTTATCAGGAATGCTCTAGGTAGGAGAACATTTGTAGGAGTTTTTTCCCATAATTGCTTCAGTAATAATTTTCTTGCATAGCTGCTGGCCTTTCTGTGGTTGTTGTTAGGAAGGACATTCTTTTCTAGAAGTGGCCTATCAGGCTTCCCGTTGAATCTCATTGACCAGAGTCAGGCACGTGTCTGAGCCTAAACCAATCACTGGCAAGGGAAGTTAAATGATTAGTTTAAATGAATCCACATTCACCCCTTGAAACTTGAGAGTAAGGGCTATGGCTTCCTATAGCCAGATCTGAACTGAATCCAAGTTCTTTTGGGGATGAAGCATGGATGTTGGGAGGCAATAAAAAGTGTCTGCCCTGATCAGCTTTGTAATTCTTCCTTCATATAATTTTCTCTGCCAGATAATCTATATTTGGGTTTATAGCTACTAAAAGCTTGTTATATTATGAATGATATTATAATAATTTATTACTGACTATATTAAAAATAAGCCATTAGAAATCTTTTTCAGCACAAACAAATGGCTCTGATTGCTAACAGATTCTGAAATTTTGATTCCTTTTATGCATTCCAAAGTGTCATTATAGTAATGCCTTAAATTTGTATCTTTTGTAAGAATGTTTTCTCACTTTAGATACTTTCCAAAAAGAATTTATTTCCAAATGTTTTGTCGTTTTTAGGGATACTACAAAGTCACATCCCATTTGCCTCACTCTTCAGAACAATATATATATTAGGTCATATACATATATTAGGACCTGAATATATTAGGTTATTAAATATGAAATGTCCGATTTCAAATCAAAAGTATAGTTTATTGTATTTCAAATAAGAAGCAGTACAATTAAAGTATGCACCTAAACTACCAACATAATTTTGCCATCTTAACAGTATCTTGTTTATGCCAGCAGCAAAGAATCCTAGAGAACTAGTGGCAATGAAATCACGAAAGGCATTTTCTACAGCTTGTTGAGAATTGAACATTTTTCCTTCCAAGAAGTTGTCCAAAGCCTGGAAGAAATGATAGTCAGTTGGTGCAAGGTCTGGTGAATATGGTAGGTGGCAGAGAGTTAGTTTCCAAGTCTAGCTGCTGTAGTTCAGCAGCGTTGTTTGTGTGACTTTTGGTCCAGCATTGTCTTGCAAGAGGATTGGCCTGTCTCTGTTGACCAATCTTGGCTGCTTAATCGCAAGCATCCTCATCATTTCATCCAATTGGTTGCAGTAGACATCCGCTGTAATCGATTGACCAGGCTTCATGAAGCTATAATGATAATACTAGTGCTGGACCCCCAAACAGACAGCATTAGCTTTTTTTGATGAATATTTGGTTTTGGACTGTGTTTCGACACTTCATCTTTATCCAACCATTGTGCCGAACGCTTTCGATTGTCATAATAATCCATTTTTCATTACAAGTCACAATATGGTATAGAAATGGTTTGCCTTTATGTTGTGACAGCAAAGAAAGGCAAACTTTGAGACGACTTCTAGTCTGATGCTCGTTTAATTCATGCAGAACCCATCTATCCAGCATCTTCACCTTGCCCGTTTGTTTCAGATGGTCCAATATTGTTGGAATAGTAACGTCAAACCTTGCTGCTAATTCATGCATAGATTGAGATAGATTTGCTTCCACTACAGCTTTCAGCTTATTATCCAGGTCTCAGGTTGCCCATGTGGTTCATTTTCAAGATTAAAATGATGAGAATGGAATTTCTCAAACCATCAGTGTACTGCATGTTCATTAGCCACATCCTTCCCAAATACTTTGTTGCTATTTCAAGCTGTCTACACTACATTGGTTCCACGACATAACTCATATTCGAAAATAACATGAATTTTTTAACTTATCTATGGTTTCACAAAAATCGTTCTAAAAAAAATTTTTGAAAGATAATCACAAGCCACAACATGTGTTTGAAAGACTGAGGATGTGCCTTCACAATAAAAATAAAACAAATGTCAAAGTGAAATGTCAGGATATCAACTGTCAAACTTAGTACTTAAGGAAATCAGACATTTCATACTTAATAACCTAATATAAGCAGTTCATGTAATTATCCTCCTTTTACAGGAACTTAAAGAAGTTGAGTTAATTTTCCAGAGCCCCCCTCACAGCTATGAAGTAGCAAAACATGTGATTGAACCCAAGTTGAAGATAACCATGTCCAGCTCTCTTCCATCACTGTTCTAGCAGTTTGTCATAATGGCATGTATCAGTATAGTGCTAAAAACATTGAAGATCTGTTGAGAGTTCTCAAGAAAATTCTTCAGTAGGGGGAAAATATATTTTTTTCTTTGATTACAAGTGAAATCAAACTTTCTTTTTATTGTTTTTGGCCCTTTTTTAAATTGTTCAATTCCTTTGTCCATCTTTCTGCCATAGTGATCTTTTTGTCCTTGATTTGTAAGAGTTGTTTATATATTAAAAGCATCTACCCCTGTTGGATTCCCAATCTGTATTCTCTTCTTTTGTTTAATCCTTCAGTTGCTCATTTAAAACTTTCTTACTGGCTGGGCATAGTGGTTCACACCTGTGATCTCAGCACTTTGGGAGGTCAAAGCTGGAGAATTGCTTGAGGCCAGGAGTTTAAGACCAGCCTGGGCAATGTAGTGAGACCCTGTCTCAAAATAAATATATAAATAAAAATAAAAAATTCTTACAATATAAATAGTAGTGAAAAGTCAAGTGTGAACAAAACTTGGTTCTTGCCCTCTAGGAGCTCATTTTATATTTGAGGATACAGATTCATAAGTAGATAAGGTTCCTCATATACCTAATGATAGAGAAGCTGCAATAGAGAGGAAAGTAAACAGATGCCCCGAAGTCTGACAGATTCAATTTTGAATTCCACATTAATAATGGAACACTGAGAAATTTTTCTACCCCCACTGAGTTTCATATTTCTCCACTGTAAAAGAGGGATAATAATTCCTTCATCATAGGGCTGTTGTACAATTTAATAAGATAATGTATATGTAATGCCTCAGCAGATTGGAGGTATCAAAGGATTGCTACTGAGTAGTTTGTTGCTGTTGTTACAGTCAGGGAGAAAAGGGAGGTTTGCATAGAGGAAGTGACATTTGAATATTAGAAACCCCTTCTCTGTTTTTCATCTGCTGGGCAAGTTAGTGGGCATTTCTGAATTAGAACAGTTTGGGGAAGTAGTTTTTAGAAGCATGTCTGGGCAATATGTAGTGGATGTTAATGTCATTAGAATGAGTTGTGGGTTTTTTTGTTTGTTTGTTTTTTTAAGCAGTTTAGCAATCTGTTTTTCTGTAGTGGAATTTGATCCAACCTCAAGAGTTGTATGTGAATGTTTTTCAGGTAGTTCTTCCAACATTTATTCTTGAAAGAAGATCTCTTTTAGAAATGTACGCAGACTTTTTTGCACATCCGGACCTGTTTGTGAGGTATTCGAACACAGTAATTTCCAACTTTTAAGGATGTTATTCAGTAGCTTTCTGCCCTTTATTTGCAGGGTAGATGGATTCCTTCTTACCTTTCAGACATTTCTGGGATAAAGTAGTATTGAGTAATGTGTTTATATTGGATGCCTATCTGTTTGTTTAAGTTATGTAGTGTTGATATTGTTAGGCAATCAAGAGCCCATTAATAGGTGGCCAGTATTTACAGGTTCAAAGGCATAAGTTTATTTGACCCAGGCATTGGTAATCACTGTTAAATTATTTATACTATATCCTAACAAAGTTCAGCTATCTGAGTTCAGCAAACCTTTCTAAAGCACCTGTTTGCCTAGGCACTTTGTTATGAACTGGAGAAAAAAAAGTCACAGAGTCTACCCTTGAGGAGTTTACAATCGAGTATCCAGATTATAGACTGATTCATAGATTTTAAATATAAATCTTGAAATGTTAGGTATGTGTATATGCACTAGGGATAGAAATAATGTAATGGTGAAATTGATTTACAAGGAGGTAAGTTCACATTGCTTTTCACAGGTGGCAGGAAAATTTTCATTGTAATCTCTCTTCCTGTACATTCCTTGAAACCTCAGTCTGAGGTTTCACAATGGGTGGGCACACTGGCTGACTTAGATGTATATATGTTTCGTTCTTAGGAAGATTTAAGAGAATCATTTAACCAATTCCCAAAGGGTAGAAATTCAAGTAAATATGACAGTGTTTAAATTAATAGACAATTTAACAGATGAAATGTAAACATTTATTAATAACATGAGTAAAAATGAATGGAAAGTACCAGTTGTTCACTGGATATAGTCTTGAGATTTAAGGGTAGTTTTTATGTGTGAGAAGTTAAATTTTGAGGTCCCTAGAGGAACCACTTAAAAAATACGAAAGTACAGCTAAAAGGTGAATAGATAAAATTAAATAGAATACTAAAAACAGTTAATTCCCAAAAAGGAGGAAAGGGAAGATAATGGAACAAGGAACAAAGCAGACATGTAGAAAACAAATTCTAAGATGGTAGAGTTAAATCCAACTATATCAGTAATTACACTAAATGTAAATAGATTACACACTCCATTTGAAAAGAGAACAGTGATTGTCAGACTGGATAAAAAATCAGGATGGGTTAGTATGCTATTTTCAAGAAGGAGACTTTAAATATAACTGATTGGTTAAAAGTAAAAGGATAGACAAAGATACACCATGCAAAACACTAAGCATAACAAAACTGTATTAGTATCAGAAAAGGACTTTCAAGACAAGAAATATTACCAAAGAAAATAGAGATATTTTGTAATGATAAAAAGGTCTATTTATGAAGAATAAATAATGTTCCTAAATGTATATGTACCTAATAACACAGCTTCAAAATACATGCAGCAAAAATTGACTAAACTAAAGGGAGAAATAGACAAGTCCACAAATTCCTCCCTCAGGAACTGATTGACCAGGTAGCCCCTGCCTCCCCATCCCCTGAGACTTACTGTCTGTAGATGATTCAAATGGCATTATCAATCAGCTTGACCTAATTGACCTTTCTAAACACTACCTAACAAGTATAGAACATGTAGTCTTTTCAGGTATGCAAAGAACATTCATCAAGATAGACCATATACAGAGAATTCTTAATAAATTCAAAATAATTGGAATCATACCAGGTATATTCTCTGACCATAAAAGAATTAAATTAGAAATTGGTAACACAGATACAAAGAAACTCCAGTTATTTGAAAATTAAACTATGCACTCACATGCACTTAATCTATGCTACTAGAAATCAGAAATGGTGTTTGCTTCAGGGGCAGAGGTAGTGATTGCTTGGAAAAGGAGATGGAACTTTCTGGAATAGAAATGTTCTATGTCTTGATT